CTTGGCCACGAAAATTCTTTTCTGCAGCAGCACGAGGTGACATTGAAGGCTCGGTTGGTCGAATTTCAAAATCAATGGTGGCGCCATCGGGTGACAAAACGCACAAAATTTCTGATTTTCTAAAGAAAATTCGTTCAGAAATCGACCCGTGTATGGCCACCATAAGGGTTGCTTCTGACTCGGGTCAAGTACTCCCACAGTTGATCCAGAGCAGGGGTCTCCAAACTTCGGCCCTCCGAAGTGTTGAGGAACTGCAAGTCCCATGAGGCCTTGCAAGTCTCTGACAGCCACAGGCAAGACTCCCAGAGGCATGATGGGACTTGTAGTCCTTCAACAGCTGGAGGGCCCATAGTTTTGAGATCCCTGATCCAGAAGAAGGCAAAAAAAAATATTTGTACGTACTTAAAGCCGAACTTCACTCCCTCCATCGCCATGAACTCTGTGCAATCGTTGTGCCGCCATCATTAGTACAGCGATAGGAAGGGAGCGCAATTTTCTGGTTTTAGACTTCAATTTTTTTTTTTTTTACATAGTTTCGTTATTTCGGATTCGTTTTTAAATTCGGATACATCCAACATAATGAAAAGTTTTGCCCGAATTTGATTAGGAACGGAACAAACCGCGCGTGTTTACAGGACAGGACCATCGATCGTGTCAGTGATTTCAGGATATGTGATCACTCGGAAATTGATCTTCATTCTGCTGATCGTCCATTGTCGGGGGTTGGGTGACGCATGACCCCCTACAACATTTTCCCTGGGAGATCCCCGATCTTTAGATCCTCCCCGTTCTGGGTTGGCCATTGATGGGACTTTTTTTTTTTTTTTTTTTTTTTTAAATCCGACAGACGGGGTGATAGAAAAAAAAAATGGCGGCTTCCTCCATCCTTACAAGTGAGTCCCTGCTGTCAGAATACACGGATCAGCAGCTGCAGGTGATTGGTTGCAACTGGCTGTTTGGGTGATCAAGAAAAAGTTTTCCCCAACAAGCCTGTTCGATTGTTAGATCAACTTCCGTTGAGTGGGAGTGGCCATTCATGGATAAAAATTTGTCAAGTCTCTCCTCCAGCCGGAAGAATTTTGATCCATCTAAAGTCGGCATTAGGCAGGTCAAATTCCGAGAGAAATTTTTGAAAATCTTTTCTAAGACTTTTTGTTCGAATTTCGTGCCAATGGCTGATTTTCATGCGACCATCGAAATTGAGTGATCAGGCATTTTGGAATTTTTTTTTGGAAAAACGAACGAATTTCTAATCAATGATGGGAGAATCACATGAAAAAAAAGAAAATTTCTTGGCCACGAAAATTCTTTTCTGCAGCAGCACGAGGTGACATTGAAGGCTAGGTGGTCGAATTTCAAAATCAATGGTGGCGCCATCGGGTGACAAAACGCACAAAATTTCTGATTTTTCTAAAGGAAAATTCGTTCAGAAATCGACCCGTGTATGGCCACCATAAGGGTTGCTTCTGACTCAGGTCAAGTACTCTCCCACAGTTGATCCAGAGCAGGGGTCTCCAAACTCGGCCCTCCAAGTGTTGAGGAACTGCAAGTCCCATGAGGCCTGCAAGTCTCTGACAGCCACAGGCAAGACTCCCAGAAGCATGATGGGACTTGTAGTCCTTCAACAGCTGGAGGGCCGTAGTTTTGAGATCCCTGATCCAGAAGAAGGCAAAAAAAATATTTGTACGTACTTAAAGCCGAACTTCACTCCCTCCATCGCCATGAACTCTGTGCAATCGTGCTGCCATCAATAGTACAGCGATAGGAAGGGAGCGCAATTTTCTGGTTTTAGACTTTTTTTTTTTTTTTTTTTTACACATTTCTTCGGTGTCTTCCTGGTTTATGGCCTAGGCTAAAATGATGTCATCCATCCCAGGAGTCTTCACGGCAGGAGGAGCTTTCTCAGCTAAGAACACCCTTCCTGTCTGCATGCCTGAGCTATGGGTAGATGGATTCCAGGAAGTAAATGCTACGTGAATCATCTGCCCTTATTCAAGATGGCAGCAGCTGGAAATGCCCGCGGGGTGTTTTTCAAAGTGATTTCTCAGCAAAATAAAGCATGGGGGCATGGATGGATGGATGGGGAGACATTGATGGATGGATGAAGACAAGGATAGATGGATGGATGGGGGAGACGTGGATGGATGGATGGGGGAGACGTGGATGGATGAAGACATGGATGGCTGGGGGAGACGTGGATGGATGGAGACATGGATGTGTGGATGGGGGAGACGTGGATGGATGTTGACACGGATGGGGGAGACAAGGATGGATGGACAGCGACATGGTTGATTGAATGGATGGAGACAAGGATGAATGGATGGATGGAGACAAGGATGAAATGGATGGGTGGACGGGGGAGACATGGATGGACGGGGGAGACATGGATGGATGGGGGAGACGTGGATGGATGGAGACATGAATGTGTGGATGGATGGAGACATGGATGGGGGAGACGTGGATGGGGAGAGACAAGGATGAATGGATGGATGGGACATAGATGGGGAGATGGACAGGATGGATGGATGGATGGAGACATAGATGGGGGAGACATGGATGGATGGAGACACGGATGGATGGGGGAGACATGGATGGATGGGTGGGTGGATAGGGGAGACATGGATGGATGGAGACATGGATGTGTGGATAGATGGAGACATGGATGGGGGGGGGAGACGTGGATGGATGGAGACACGGATGGATGGGGGGAGACATGGATGGGGGAGACATGGATGGATGGGGGAGACATGGATGGATGGGTGGACAGGGGAGACATGGATGGATGGAGACATGGATGTGTGGATAGATGGAGACATGGATGGGGGGGGGAGACGTGGATGGGGAGAGACAAGGATGAATGGATGGATGGAGACATAGCTGGGTGGATGGGGGAGACGTGGATGGATGGAGACATGGATGGATGGGGGAGACAAGGATGAATGGATGGAGACATAGATGGGGGGAGACAAGGATGAATGGATGGAAGGAGACATAGATGGGGGAGACATGGATGGATGGGGGAGACATGGATGGATGGAGACATGGATGGATGGATGGGGGAGACATGGATGGATGGGTGGACAGGGGAGACGTGGATGGATGGAGACATGGATGGGGGGAGACAAGGATGAATGGATGGAAGGAGACATAGATGGGGGAGACATGGATGGACGGATGGAGACATGGATGGATGGGGGAGACATGGATGGATGGATGGAGACATGGATGGGGGAGACAAGGATGAATGGATGGAAGGAGACATAGATGGGGGAGACATGGATGGATGGAGACATGGATGGATGGGGGAGACATGGATGGATGGGTGGGTGGACAGGGGAGACGTGGATGGATGGAGACATGGATGAATGGATGGATGGAGATATAGATGGGTGGATGGGGGAGAAGTGGATGGGTGAGACATGGATGGATGGGGGATTGGATGGAGACATGGATGGATGGGGGAGTGGATGGATGGAGACATGGATGGATGGATAGATGGAGACACGGATGGATGGATAGATGGAGACATGGATGGACGGGGGAGTGGATGGATGGAGACATGGATGGATGGATAGATGGAGACACGGATGGATGGATAGATGGAGACATGGATGGGTGGATGGAGACATGGACGGATGGATGGATGGAGACATGGACGGATGGATGGAGACATGGACGGATGGATGGATGGAGACATGGATGGATGGATAGATGGAGACATGGATGGATGGATAGATGGAGACATGGATGGATGGATAGATGGAGACATGGACGGATGGATGGATGGAGACATGGATGGATGGATAGATGGAGACATGGACGGATGGATGGATGGAGACATGGATGGATGGATAGATGGAGACATGGACGGATGGATGGATGGAGACATGGACGGATGGATGGATGGAGACATGGATGGATAGATGGAGATATGGACGGATGGACGGACGGGGGAGTGGATGGATAGAGACATGGATGGATGGATGGGGGAGTGGACGGATGGAGACATGGATGGATGGATAGATGGAGACATGGATGGATGGATAGATGGAGACATGGACGGATGGACGGATGGAGACATGGATGGATGGATGGAGATATGGACGGATGGATGGATGGAGACATGGATGGATGGATGGATAGATGGAGACATGGATGGATGGATGGATGGAGATATGGACGGATGGACGGACGGACGGGGGATCTTTCTTTGAATACTAAAAATTAATGAAACAGCGTTTTTGGTTTGTGGAGCTCAGAATACAGCGCGGTTCCACTTTCACATTTCTGTGATATTTGCAGTCGTGTCCATAATCCTCCATATCCCCGGTGAAGTGACTATCGTCAGGTGACAGAGATGAAAGTAATCCTCCTACATACGTTTGTACCTGTTTATCTGCAGTCTGCTCTTCTATACAGCCATTCAAAGTCCAGAATTTATACCGCTTCTCTGAGAGTTCAGAAAAAGAGGGCGGAGAGCTGAAATTACACACTGCAGAGGAGAGCAATGAAAGCTGAATGGAGGGAAGAACGCCCCCCCCTCCCCCTGCACAGCACACAGGAACAGAGCTGAGGCTGTCATTCTGCTGGAGCTCCTCCCCTGTCACCATGTATCTCTTGGTGTCAGGAAAACCTGTCATCAGTGACTCAGATAGCAGAGGAAGGAGGCAGCAAACAGAAATGACACTCAGTGCTCTGGACTGAGACAAGGACACACTACAGAGGGATGTGCTTTGTTCATTTTTCATGTCTGAGGGTTACAACCACTTTATTATAAGGTGAAACTCTCAATAAATCTATAAAACGTCATATCAAAGGAAAAAAAATGTTTTTATTGTATTCACCTCATTAGTGATCAAAGCAAAGTCATAGAAAAACAAACCACCTTTCAGCCCGGCCGGGCAAGACGGGTGTACGAGCCACACCCGGGGGGGGATGGGCGCACCCCATACCCAGGAGGACAGCGATGGTCGACTGAACAGGAACATAAAAAAGTGACTCTAGTGCTCCATGGGCTCCTCGGGTTTGTCGGCCGCATCCTCTGCGGGGGCCGCCACCTGTGGGGAGGGAAAATAAAAACCAAAATGATCACTTCCATGAACTCATTGAGACGTATTGGGATAATCTTCCCCACCCCCCCCCGCCTGTATGGGCACACAGGAAGTACAGTGTCAGGAAAGGCATCTTCTGATTGGCTGCTGGGGGCAAACACGTGCAGAATAATAAAGAGGGGGCTACAGAAGGTCCAGTATGGAATCCCTGATCACCACTCTATACATAAATGTCACGGAGACCGCAAATATAAACGTCTCTCAGGCCCCGCCCACACCGGGTGCGACTTGGCATGTGGCTTGCCTTGCGACTTACAAACCACACAAGTCGCACCCTACTGTCCACAATTACAGCGGTCCTATCGGTTCCCACTTGGTCAGAGCCGCAGCGATTTCTGAAGTAGTGCATGCGCTCAGGGGCGTATCTACCGCAAGGCAAACAAGGCGTTTGCTTAGGGCGGCAATTTTTTAGGGGTGCGACACTGCCCCCCAGAAGAAGGGACCTTTTGAGCAGCGGCGGACAGCAGGAAGATCGATGTGCTGGGGCGTGGGGGAGGGCAGTTGCAGAGCGACAGTCGTGTACCTGTCCCTCCAGCAGCTGACGAGCCAGGACCAGGGGACAGCCTGCAGCAGGGAGAGAAGTGGCGGAGATGAAAGAGCCCGGAGTTGGTGAGCTGTGTTGTCTTCTGGGGGCTCTCCCTCCTATTATCCATCCAGGACATTACACTGACAGATTGTATGGGACTGCACACACCTCCACCCCCTGCCTGCAGATCAGCAGCCCTTGGCATGGGGAGAGGGAGGGAGAGAGGGAAGGGGGGGGGGGGGGAGAGGGGGGAAAGAGAGAGAAGAAATGGGGAAAGAGAGGGGGGGAGAGACAGTCTGCACGGTAGGACGACCATTGCTTGCTGATGGTGGCTACAGCCTGTGGTTGGAGTGCCACAGAACATGAGCAGGTGACACCAACACGTTTCAACAGCACGGAAACATTTGTCTGGGGTGTCATTCTTTCAGGTTTTTGTTGCTATCGGTAACCCCAATGACCAGGGGGGGGGGGGTGGAGATTTTGTATTTGGGACGGTGTCACCAACCTTCCGCTGCGGTCGCTCTTCCAGCCCTTCCAGGAACGTTGACACCTCGTCGTCATCATAGATGGTGAACTCCATGTCCTTCCCCACAATGCCGATGGAGACGTTCTGCGGAAAATAATTCTCCTGTTATTTTCAATGATCATCGGCCCCCCCTCCCGGCATCCCACTGCCGGCGCGGCCCCCCCCTCCCGGCATCCCCCCTGAAATGTCCCCCATGTTGTCATGTTACAATGTATTCCCCTCCCCCCTGAAATGCCCCCATGTTGTCATGTTACAATGTATTCCCCCCTCCCCCCCCCCCCCCCCTGAAATGCCCCCCATGTTGTCATGTTACAATGTATTCCCCCCCCCCCCCCCCTCCCCCCTGAAATGCCCCCCATGTTGTCATGTTACAATGTATTCCCCCCCCCCCCCTCCCCCCTGAAATGTCCCCCATGTTGTCATGTTACAATGTATCCCCTCCCCCCTGAAATGCCCCCCATGTTGTCATGTTACAATGTATTTCCCCCCCCCCCTCCCCCCTGAAATGTCCCCCATGTTGTCATGTTACAATGTATTCCCTCCCCCCTGAAATGTCCCCCATGTTGTCATGTTACAATGTATCCCCCCTCCCCCCTGAAATGTCCCCCATGTTGTCATGTTACAATGTATCCCCCCCCCCCCCCCTGAAATGTCCCCCCATGTTGTCATGTTACAATGTATTCCTCCCCCCCGAAATGTCCCCCATGTTGTCATGTTACAATGTATTCCTCCCCCCCGAAATGCCCCCCATGTTGTCATGTTACAATGTATTCCCCTCCCCCCTGAAATGCCCCCCATGTTGTCATGTTACAATGTATTCCCCTCCCCCCCTGAAATGCCCCCCATGTTGTCATGTTACAATGTATTCCCCTCCCCCCTGAAATGCCCCCCATGTTGTCATGTTACAATGTATCCCCCCCGAAATGTTCCCCATGTGGTCATGTTACAATGTATTCCCCCCCCCCCCCCCCCCCCGAAATGTTCCCCATGTGGTCATGTTACAATGTATCCCCCCCCGAAATGCCAGGTGGCAGCACCACATACGCCCCAGCGCTGCCTGGCCACAAAGGGTTAATACAGCGAACTCCTGCCATGGAGGGGGCGTGCTCCGTGTACCACCATGAACCTCCCCGCAGCAATTTCCCAGCATGCACAGGGAGGAGGGGGGCGGGGAGATGTGACGTCACCTTGGTGGTCAAGTCTTGTTCGGCAGGAAGAGTCTCTCTCAGGGCGCGCAGTCCGTGCTTCACAAGCTCATTCAGATTACCTGGACGGGAATCACCAACAACACGGGTCAGGGGGCAAGAGTGTAAAATCATGGGTCCCCCTCCCCCCACATCAAGCTTCCATTTTCATTACAGACCTCATTTAAGTCCCAGTGATGTCATCACTGGGTCTCTGTGCTTCTCTATTCAATGCAAGAAGATCGTGGCTGGTGGGAGGGGCCAGTGTGGCGCTGTACATAGCAAAACAGTACCCTGCCCTCGGCACAAGCCGTGGGAATGACGTAAATATCAGAATGCCTTGGTGGGTAGTCAGTCTGGAGGAGGTGGCTGTATTGCACGCAGATTGCCCTAAGTAACTTGTGATGGCGAACTTCCAGACTCCAAGGAATGAAAGGGGCGGGCCAAAGACAGTCAGGATGGAGAGGGAGGAGCTAGACAACGCTGGACATCCTCCAGCCAGGAAATGGGGCGGGCCAGAGACCCATCAGGATGGAGAGGGAGGAGCTAGACAACACTGGACATCCTTCAGCCAGGAAATGGGGGGGCTAGAGACAGTCAGGATGGAGAGGGAGGAGCTAGACAATGCTGGACATCCGTCCAGCCAGGGAAATGGGGCGGGCCAGAGACAGGATGGAGAGGGAGGGGCTAGACAACACTGGACATCATCCAGCCAGGAAATGGGGCGGGCTAGAGACAGTCAGGATGGAGAGGGAGGAGCTAGACAATGCTGGACATCCTTCAGCCAGGAAATGGGGTGGGCCAGAGACAGTCAGGAGGAGAAGGAGGGGCTAGACAACGCTGGACATCCTTCAGCCGGGAAATGGGGTGGGCCAGAGACAGGATGGAGAAGAGGGAGGGGCTAGACAACACTGGACATCATCCAGCCAGGAAATGGGGTGGGCTAGAGACCAAATGGAAAGGGAGGAGCTAGACAACACTGAACGTCCTCCAGCCAGGAAATACAGCGGGCCAGAGACAGGATGGAGAAGAGGGAGGGGCTAGACAACACTGGATGTCATCCAGCCAGGAAATGGGGCGGGCCAGAGACAGTCAGGATGGAGAGGGAGGAGCTAGACAATGCTGGACATCCTTCAGCCAGGAAATGGGGTGGGCCAGAGACAGTCAGGATGGAGAAGGAGGGCTAGACAACGCTGGACATCCTTCAGCCGGGAAATGGGGCGGGCCAGAGACAGGATGGAGAGGGAGGAGCTAGACAACACTGGACATCATCCAGCTAGGAAATGGGGCGGGCAGAGACAGGATGGAGAGGGAGGAGCTAGACAACGCTGGACATCCTTCATCCATGAAATGGGGCGGTCCAGACAGCATGGATGGAGAGGGAGGGGCTAGACAACGCTGACCGTCCTCCAGCCAGGAAATGGGGCGGGCCAGAGACAGTCAGGATGGAGAGGGAGGGGCTAGACAACGCTGGAGCTTTGACTGGCTGCAGCTTCTAATGCACGTTGCGTGACGCTCACAGTATGCGGTGACAGAGGAAGCGGAGGTCAAAATTAAAATTTGGTGTAGAATTGACGGCCATCTTCTAGCTACTTCCCATTGCCCCTCCCACACCATGGCCGCCCAATCCAGAACATCCAACCCCACATCTTCACCCCGGACTCACATTCGCTGAATTCCGTCATGTGTCTCTCCAGGTAGGTGCGAGCGGACTGCGAGCGCGCCCCGATAGACATGGCCCTGCAGTCAAAGTAGTTTGCAGAGGGGCAGGTCTGGAAGATGTGCGGCCCCATGTCCTGCCGAGGGGGAGACACAACAAAGAGGACCTGTCACTTCACAGAATGGAGATCGATCAATGGAGGGTCGTCCAGGACCGAATACACCCCAAATGCCAAAATATTTATAGATTGAAGGACAAAATAGGATTCCTCACAGTGATCATATCTCGCTGAAAATACTATGTATCTATCCCCCGTCTGATCGATGTTTATAAACAATGTTACTTTGTATCTCTATCCCCCGTCTGATCGATGTTTATAAACAATGTTACTTTGTATCTCTCTATCTCCCGTCTGATCGATGTTTATAAACAATGTTACTTTGTATCTCTCCATCTCCCGTCTGATTGATGTTTATAAACAATGTTACTTTGTATCTCTCTATCTCCCGTCTGATCGATGTTTATAAACAATGTTACTTTGTATACCTCTATCTCCTGTCTGAGCGATGTTTATAAACAATGTTACTTTGTATCTCTCCATCTCCCGTCTGATCGATGTTTATAAACAATGTTACTTTGTATCTATCTCCCGTCTGATCGATGTTTATAAACAATGTTACTTTGTATCTCTCCATCTCCCGTCTGATCGATGTTTATAAACAATGTTACTTTGTATCTCTATCTCCCGTCTGATTGATGTTTATAAACAATGTTACTTTGTATACCTCTATCTCCCGTCTGATCGATGTTTATAAACAATGTTACTTTGTATCTATCTCCCGTCTGATCGATGTTTATAAACAATGTTACTTTGTATCTATCTCCCGTCTGAGCGATGTTTATAAACAATGTTACTTTGTATCTATCTCCCGTCTGATCGATGTTTATAAACAATGTTACTTTGTATCTATCTCCCGTCTGAGCGATGTTTATAAACAATGTGTCAGATGGTCCATTAGTTGGCAGTAACGGCTTCTACAGCAGCTCTATTTACACAGTAACTCCAGGCAGACATTTTGACAGCTGGAAATTGCCAGCACGTGTAAGGAGAGCGGCAGGAGGGAAGGGCCGGGTGCACTTCACATGTAGGAAGGTTTTCTGGGCATGTGTAGCACGTCCGGAGTCCACAGCTGGCTAGCTATGCTGGGAAGTTCCCGTAAAATTCAGATTTCTTTGCTCAGGTGAACAACAACCAATCCCCTTCCACTTACATCAAATCCTGCAATCAGCAGCCCCACGCCGTAAGGTCTCCGCCCATAGCGCTGGGTAGGAATTTGTGTTTCTGATGAAGATTAAGAAAAAAAATTCACTCAAGAAAAACTTCACATCTTCAAAGCAGATGTGACAAGAATTCCCCGTCCTCACCCAAAATTAGGATTTAAAGTGGAACTCCAGAAAAATGATTTTCCATGTTAGAGGAAACAACTAGAAATGGTAATTGTGCCCAAGCAGCCCCTGGAAAATCTTTGCCAGGAATTCCTTCTGAAGACTAGCAGTGCACTACCTGTGCCTAGGCACCCCTGACATCAGTACACTTCCTGTGCCTAGGCACCCCTGACATCAGTACACTTCCTGTGCCTGGGCACCCCTGATATCCTTGTATCTTTCTGTGCCCGGGCACCCCTATCACTGCACCCCTGCGCTTCCTGTGCCCAGGCACCCCTGCACTTCCTGTGTGCCCAGGCACCCCTGCACTTCCTGTGCCCAGGCACCCCTGCACTTCCTGTGCCCAGGCACCCCTGACCTCAGTATACTTCCTGTGCCTAGGCACCTGACATCAGTATACTTCCCGTGCCTAAACAACACACCCGACATCAGTATACTTCCCGTGCCTAGGCACCCCTGATATCCCTGCACTTTCCACGCCCAGGCACCCCTGATATCCTTGTACCTTCCCGTGCCCAGGCACCCGATATCCCTGCACTTCCTGGTATCTGTGCACTTCCCACAGTTGGGCACTCCTGATATCCCTGCACTTCCCATACCTGGGCACTCCTGAGATCAGTGCATGTCCTGTGCCTAGGCAATCCTGTTCTGTATTCTCACAGTTGTATATCTGCAGTGTGAGATCTTCTAAGGTAGCGCTGCCTTTGACTGCTATACTTCTATTGGGATTTCATAAGATCACTGCTGTGCTTCCCATGGTTCTCTTTCCTGGAGACTCTGTTACTAGGAAGCAACTCCCTGCCACTACCAAGATGGCGGCTTCCACACAGAGACACACAGCAGTACAAGGCATGGAAGTCAGTGACGGGGAAACGGTCACCTGCAGGGAGACCAGAAGCAATCCAGGTGATTGGTCCTTTGCCTGCTGGGCACGGCTTCCATTGGCCGGGCTGAGTGACCCCGCCGTATTATTACATCACTTTGTGACTTCCATAGCGAGATCTCGCCCTAAAAGGATACTGCTTCCGATCAAAGACACCAGGCGGGAGACCGGGAGCGGGCGATCGAAGACAAAGCGGGAATCCAGACACTCCTGACGCATGAAGTTACTGCAAAATAAAAAACAGATTTATACCCACCACTGGAGAAAACACAGACCACACCCTGCCCCCTCCCCCACCCTGTGCCCCCCCCCCCCCCACCTCCATCTTGGCTGCCACTTTCAAAGTGCTAAAACTTTACAAAGGCTGACATCACGTTCAAACATAGAATCCCATGTTCCAGCCCCTCTGGGCTCCTCCATTCCCTCCATACAGCATGGCTGGGCAGTGACAGGTTCTCTTGGCCTGCACTTCCATGGAAGGCTCTGCCCGGGGGGGGGGGGGGGGGGGAATCAGTCCATGGGATGTCAGCGAACAGCAATTATATTCATTGACTTTTTTTCAGATGTAATAATAATAATAATTGTTACTTTCTGGACGATTCTACAAAAGCAGAGAAAACGCCATCAGAGGAGCGCCAACCACTTACCAGAGCAGCCGGGCGTCGGCGGTGAGACCCGCGATGGAAATGCCCACGTGATTGTCCACATTGAGGATCTTCTTCTGATGAGCCGCCAACTCCGACTGAGCTCTCTGTACAACACAGCAAACATCACCACAGGAGCTTACACTCTAATGCCCCCCCCCCACAGTCCCCATCAATCTTTGTACCAGAGGAGCTTACACTCTAATGTCCCCTCCCCCCGCAGTCACATCAGTCTCTGTACCAGAGGAGCTTACACTCTAATGTCCCCCCTCCCCCACAGTCCCATCAATCTTTGTACCAGAGGAGCTTACACTCTAATGTCCCCTCCCCCGCAGTCACATCAGTCTCTGTACCAGAGGAGCTTACACTCTAATGTCCCCTCCCCCACGGTCCCATCAGTCCCTGTGCCAGAGGAGCTGACGCTCTAATGTCCCCTCCCCCACAGTCCCATCAGTCTCTGTGCCAGAGGAGCTGACGCTCTAATGTCCCCTCCCCCACAGTCCCATCAGTCTCTGTACCAGAGAAGCTGACGCTCTAATCTCCCCTCCCCCACAGTCCCATCAGTCTCTGTACCAGAGGAGCTTACGCTCTAATGTCCCCTCCCCCCACAGTCCCATCAGTCTCTGTACCAGAGAAGCTGACGCTCTAATGTCCCCTCCCCCACAGTCCCATCAGTCTCTGTACCAGAGGAGCTTACACTCTAATGCCCCCCCCTCCCCCGCAGTCACATCAGTCTCTGTACCAGAGGAGCTTACACTCTAATGTCCCCTCCCCCACAGTCCCATCAGTCTCTGTACCAGAGGAGCTTGCGCTCTAATGTCCCCTCCCCCCACGGTCCCATCAGTCTCTGTACCAGAGGAGCTGACGCTCTAATGTCCCCTCCCCCACAGTCCCATCAGTCTCTGTACCAGAGGAGCTTACGCTCTAATGTCCCCTCCCCCACAGTCACATCAGTCTCTGTACCAGAGGAGCTTACGCTCTAATGTCCCCTCCCCCGCAGTCACACACTATTATTATACATTTATATAGCTCTGACATATACCGCAGCGCTGTACAGAGATCACTGGGGCATCAGCCAGGTACAGTATATTGATAGTTACTTTGGTACAAGCTGGAACAATGTAACCATATATAAGATATCCATATCCGGAGTCAGGGGCGGACTGACAACTCATGGGGCCCCCGGGCAATAGGGGATCATGGGGCCCCTGTGTCCTTGCCCAAACTAAAAAAAAAGCCTATGAAAAAGGTACCAGGGGCATCTCATGGGGCCCCCTACTGACCCCGGGCCCTTGGGCAGTGCCCGAGTTTCCAAATGGTAGTCCGCCCCTGCCCAGAGTTCTTCTTTAAAGCTGAATTCCAGGAATTCAGCAAGTTTGCAAAACAATTCAGCACACTAGAAGTTAAGTCCAATTGGGTGCATGTCACCTCCTGGACTTCTCTCTATGACTTATATATGACAGGTTTATTGCTCTCCCAGGAGGATACATGGGACACTGGAGGCCGTGATAGAAGCACACAGAGCTGCTATGCCCGCCCCTCCCCTCTGCTGGCCATTCAGACAGATGCCTTTGTATTTTATGAAAGAGTTCAAATAATACAAAGGCTTCTGTGAATGGGCAGAAAAAAAAGGAGGGGCGGGCATAGCAATTCCAGCAAATCTGCTCTTGGAAGGAAAAAACACTGGCAGTGAGCTGCAGTTCTCTCCCTGAGTATATGGGGGGCGGCACCTCAGACTTGCCTGCAGTATTTACAAAGCAGCCAAGTTCCTGGAATCCAGATTTAAAGAGAAACCGTCTCCCTGGTGAGGCTCAATGATCAAACAAACTGACCTTCAAAGCCACGAGGACGGCGTGCGTCTTGGACTTCAGTCCCACGGTGGCGGAGCCCTGCTTCACCGCTTCCATGGCGTACTCGATCTGATGGATCCGGCCCTGGGGAGGAGACGACAGTCAGAACCTCTAACACCGGGGACACCCCCCGAGGAGACGACAGTCAGAACCTCTAACACCGGGGACACCCCCCGAGGACGGCACACTAAACACAGATCTACAGAATGTAACCACCACCCCCCTCCTACCACCTACCACCACCCCCTCCCCTACCACCACCCCCCTCCCCTACCACCACCTCCTCCCCTCACCACCACCACCCCCCTCCCCTACCACCACCACCCCCCTATTACCACCACCACCCCCTCCCCCCTACCCCACCCCCCACCCCCTCCCCTACCACCACCTCCTCCTCCTCCCCTACCACCACCACCCCCCCCTTCCCTACCACCACCCCCTCCTAGTCCCCTACCACCACCACCTCCCTCCCCTACCACCACCCCCCCCCTCCCCTACCACCACCACCCCCTCCTAGTCCCCTACCACCACCCCCTCCTAGTCCCCTACCACCACCACCTCCTAGTCCCCCTACCACCACCCCCCCCTAGTCCCCTACCACCACCACCCCCCCCTAGTCCCCTACCACCACCCCCCCCTAGTCCCCTACCACCACCCCCCCCTAGTCCCCTACCACCTCCCCCACCACCACCTCCTAGTCCCCTACCACCACCACCTCCTAGTCCCCTACCACCACCACCTCCTAGTCCCCTACCACCACCACCCCTCCTAGTCCCCTACCCACCACCACCCCCCCCCCTCCCCTACCACCACCACCCCCTCCTAGTCCCCTACCACCACCACCCCCCTCCTAGTCCCCTACCACCACCTCCCCCCCCTACCCTACCACCACCTCCCCCCCTACCCTATCACCTCCCCCCCTCCCCTACCACCACCCCCCCCCCCCTACCCTACCACCATCCCCATCCCTCCCCTACCACCACCCAACCCCCCCCCCCCACCTCCACCCCTACCCTACCACCACCCCCCCCCCTACCCTACCACCACCCTCCCCCCCTACCCTACCACCACCTCCCCCCCCCCCTACCACCACCTCCCCCCCTACCCTACCACCACCTCCCCTACCACCACCTCCCCTACCACCCTACCACCCACCTCCCCTACCACCACCTCCCCTACCACCACCTCCCCTACCACCACCTCCCCCCCTACCCTACCACCACCTCCTCCTCTACCACCACCACCACTCCCCTTCCACCACCACCCCCCCTACCCTGATCGCCCCTCATGTTAACCCCTTCCTGCCCAGTGCCATTAGTACAGTGTCGGGGCTTTTTATTAGCCCTGATCACTGTATTGGTGTCACTGGGGATGTCAGTGACACCAAGTCAGTTCGCCGCAGTCCCGCTATAAGTCGCTGATCACCACCATTACTAGTAAAAAATAAATAATAATTCCAGTATATATACCGCCATTTGTAAACGCTATAATTTTCACGTAAACCAATTATGTACACGTATTGGATTTTTCTTTTTAGTAAGGACACGGAACAGAATACAGTTTGACCGAAATTTATAACAACTTTTTTTTTACTGGGTGTTTTATGGCAAAAAAAGTCAAAAATATATTTTTTTTTTCTCCTGACCTTTGACCCTGACCCAAACACTAACCCTGGCACTGAACTGGATCAAACCTTGATCTCGGTATCTTTTCTTTACTTTTTATTTTATTCTTTAATATTTATTTATTCATTTTTTTTTTAAACAGTTTTTTTCCCCCTCTATGCAAGGAGAGAGATACAATGTATCTCTCCTACATTCATAGAGAAAACACAAAAAACAAAGGGGGGCGGGGCTGCACAGTGACTGATCACTGTGATAACCAATCAGAGTTAGGGACTGATGTGAATGTACAATATATATGTAACGCGCTGTGGCAGCTCTATATAAGTACCTGAAATAAATTACAAACTGGATTTAACCACTTGCTGACCGCAATACACACATACAGTAAAGGAAATGTGTATTTGCCCCCCCTGGGGGTGAATGTTCGCCCCTCACACAGAAACGATCGGTCTAACAATGGAATGTTCGCCCCTCACACAGAAACGATCGGTCTAACAATGGAATGTTCCCCCCTCACACAGAAATGATCGGTCTAACAATGGAATGTTCGCCCCTCACATAGAAACGATCGGTCTAACAATGGAATGTTCGCCCCTCACACAGAAATGATCGGTCTAACAATGGAATGTTCACCCCTCACATAGAAATGATCGGTCTAACAATGGAATGTTCACCCCTCACACAGAAATGATCGGTCTAACAATGGAATGTTCACCCCTCACACAGAAATGATCGGTCTAACAATGGAATGTTCACCCCTCACACAGAAATGATCGGTCTAACAATGGAATGTTCGCCCCTCACACAGAAATGATCGGTCTAACAATGGAATGTTCGCCCCTCACACAGAAATGATCGGTCTAACAATGGAATGTTCGCCCCTCACATAGAAACGATCGGTCTAACAATGGAATGTTCGCCCCTCACACAGAAACGATCGGTCTAACAATGGTATGTTCGCCCCTCACACAGAAATGATCGGTCTAACAATGGAATGTTCGCCCCTCACACAGAAACGATCGGTCTAACAATGGAATGTTCGGTGTAACACTGAGAGACAGAATACAACAACAAATTCAGCAGAAATGCGTCTAACAAATGATGACGGATCTGCATGTTCATGAGGGAAAGAAGGATTTGATCCCCTATCATTCAGCAGGATTTCTGGCTCCCAGGTGTCTCTCATACAGGTAACAAGCTGAGATTAGAAGCAGTCTCTTAAAGGGAGTGCTGCTAATCTCGTTGTTTTACCTGTATAAAAGACACCTGTCCACAGGAGCAATCAAACCATCAGATTCCAAACTCTCCACCATGGCAAAGACCAAAGAGCTGTCCAAGGATGTCAGGGACAAGATGGTAGACCTACACAAGGCTGGACTGGGCTACCAAACTATGGCCAAGCAGCTTGGTGAGAAGGTGACAACAGTTGGTGCAATCATTCACAAATGGAAGAAACACAAAACAAGTGTCAGTCTCCCTAGGTCTGGTGCACCATGCAAGATCTCACCTCGTGGAGTGTCAATGATCATGAGAACAGTGAGGAATCATCCCAGAACTACACGTGAGGATCTTGTCAATGATCTCCAGGCAGCTGGGACCGCAGTCACCAAGAAAACAATTGGTAACACACTACGCCAACAAGGACTGAAATCCTGCAGTGCCCGCAAGGTCCCTCTGCTCAAGAAAGCCCATGTCCAGGCCCGTCTGAAGTCTGCCACTGAACATCTGAATGATGCAGAGGAGGACTGGTGGGAAGTGTTGTGGTCAGATGAGACCAAAATCCAGCTCTTTGGCATCAACTCAACTCGCCGTGTTTGGAGGAGGAGGAATGCTGCCTATGACCCCAAGAACACCATCCCAACTGTGAAACATGGTGGTGGAAACATTCTGCTTTGGGGGTGTTTTTCTGCTAAGGGGACAGGACAACTGCACCCCATCAAAGGGACGATGGATGGGGCAATGTACCCTCAAATCTTGGGTGAGAACCTTCTTCCCTCAGCCAGGGCATTGAAAATGGGTGGTGGATGGGTGTTCCAGCATGACAATGACCCAAAACACACGGCCAAGGCAACAAAGGAGCGGCTCAAGAAGAAGCACATTAAGGTCCTGGAGTGGCCTAGCCAGTCTCCACACCTTCATCCGATGGAAAATCTGTGGAGGGGCTGAAAGTTCGAGTTGCCAAATGTCAGCCACCAAACCTTCATGACTTGGAGAGGATCTGCCAAGAGGAGTGGGCCAAAATCCCTCCTGAGATGTGTGCGAACCTGGGGGCCAACTCCAGGAAACGTCTGACCTCTGTGATTGTCAACAAGGGATTGGCCACCAAGTACTATGTCATGTTTTGTGAAGGGGATCAAATCCTTCTTTCCCTCATGAACATGCAGATCCGTCATCATTTGTTAGACGCATTTCTGCTGAATTTGTTGTTGTATTCTGTCTATCAGTGTTACACCGAACATTCCATTGTTAGACCGATCATTTCTGTGTGAGGGGCGAACATTCCTGTGTTAGACCGATCATTTCTGTGTGAGGGGCGAACATTCCATTGTTAGACCGATCATTTGTGTGTGAGGGGCGAACATTCCATTGTTAGACCGATCGTTTCTGTGTGAGGGGCGAACATTCCTGTTAGACCGATCATTTCTGTGTGAGGGGCGAACATTCCATTGTTAGACCGATCATTTCTGTGTGAGGGGCGTGAGACCGGGGTGAGGGGCGAACATTCAGCATCAGCCGGGGAGCAAATACTCATTTCCTGCACTGTGTATATATATGTATGTATACACACACACACACACACACAGTTGCAAGAAAAAGTATGTGAACCCCTTGGGATTCCGTGGAGTTTTGCATGAATTGGGCATAAAATGTGCTCTGAACATCATCTAAGTCACAACAATAGAAGAACACAGTCTGCTGAACATAATACTACACAAACATTAGATGTTGTCATGGTTTAATTGCACATAACATGTAAACATTCACAGTGCAGGGAGGAAAAAGTATGTGAACCTTTGGACTTAATAACTGGTTGGCCCTCCTTTGGCAGCAATAACCTCAACCAAACGTTTCCTGTAGTTGCAGATCAGACCTGCACAACGATCTGGAGTCATTTTGGACCACTCCTCTTCACAAAACTGTTTCAGTGTAGCAATATTCTTGGGATGTCTGGTGTGAATCGCTCTCTTAAGGTCATGCCACAGCATTTCAACGGGTTGAGGTCAGGACTCTGACTGGGCCACTCCAGAAGGCGTATTCTGTGCTGTTGCAGCCATTGTTTTGTTGAATGACTTGTATGCTTTGGGTCATTGTCCTGTTGCATCACCCATCCTCTGCGGAGCTTCAGTTGGCGGACAGATGGTCGTACGTTTTCCTGCAAAATGTCTTGATAAACTCTGGAATTCATTTTCCCATCAATGACAACAATCCGTCCAGGCCCTGAGGCAGCAAAGCAGCCCCAAACCATGATGCTCCCTCCGCCATGTTTCACAGTGGGGATGAGGTTTTGATGTTGGTGTGCTGGGCCTTTTTTTCTCCACACATAGTGTTGTGTGTTCTTCCCAAACAACTCAATCTTGGTTTCATCTGTCCACAGTATATTCTGCCAGTAGTGCTGTGGAACATCCAGGTGCTCTTTTGCAAACTTCAAACGTGCTGCAATCTTCTTTTTGGCCAGTAATGGCTTCCTCCGTGGTGTCCTCCCATGTACTCCATTCTTGTTTAATGTTTTCCTGATTGTAGATGTGTCAACAAAAATGTTAGCATGTGCCAGAGATTTCTGTAGGTCTTTAGCTGACACTCTGGGATTCTTCTTTACCTCATGCAGCATTCTGCGCTGTGCTCTTGCAGTCATTTTTACAGGACGACCACGCCTAGGGAGAGTAGCAACAGTGCTAAACTTTCTCCATTTGTAGACAGTCTGTCTTACCGTGGACACATGAACATCAAGGCTCAAGGAGATACTTTTGTAACCCTTTCCAGCTTCATGCAAGTCAACTATTCTTGATTGTAGAACTTCTGAGAGCTCTTTTCTGCGAGGCATGGTTCACATCAGACAGTGCTTCTTGAAACCAGTAAACCCAAACACAGCTGTCAGCAACACATCCAATATCATCACACTGATTGGAGTCAAGGTTGGCTCACTCCTGGCTCCAATTAGCTCTGGGAGAAGTCATTAAGCTAGGGCCTCACATACTTTTTCCTCCCTGCACTGTGAATGTTTACATGTTATGTGCAATTAAACCATGGCAACATCTAATGTTTGTGTAGTATTATGTTCAGCAGACTGTGTTCTTCTATTGTTGTGACTTAGATGACGTTCAGAGCACATTTTATGCCCAATTCATGCAAAACTCCACGCAATCCCAAGGGGTTCACATACTTTTTCTTGCAACTGTATATATATATATATATACACACACGTGCGCACGTTGCGGTTGGTTTCCCGGGGTTGTGGCTGAACATATCAGATATGAGCCATGACTCCGGTTTCCTCCTCTGCCGGCAGCCAGCTTTATAATGGAGGTGCTCTGAGCGGCTCACTTTCAGTCCCCTCCCGCCGCTCGCCGGTGTTTCTTGGGTTTACCGTGAAAACCGGTGCGCCCGAGAAATGACCCGACGGTGTGGCCGGCTGCTCCTTCCTCCAGAGTGGGGGCGCTCTAATACAGGAGGGGTGTCACTGGCCGGATCACCGAAAGAAAACAAACGCAGCCGCCACGTCCAATGATTGGTAAACCGAGAGACGACATTTTGTCTAATACTGGTCTGATAATATGGAAGGTTCGATCCCTCCCCCATCACCGATCTATTTTAAGGTCAGTGAAACCCCCCCACACACATTGCTCGCTAGTGGGGGGGGTGACACTTTCTGATCTCCCCGACACCCCATGATAGACACACAAGGAGCGTGTTGTCTCGGGTACGGCGGGGTGCGGCCGCGGGATTCATCTGTAAATGTTTTATTTAGCAGAGTGTGCCGCCGGCTTTTGATGCTGAAGGATCACGCGGCGTCTGTCCCGTCTCTGGGGGGGGGTCATGTTTGGACGGAGCAGATTTCGGAGAACAGAGGTCTGGATTGTGAGATCCATAAATGTCGTCCCGTGTTCGGCGTACCTGGGGGCTCCAGACCGTCACGTCGTTGTCATACTGATTGCGAAACTGAAAAAGAAAACAAAAATGTTATCCAATCTGATCGCCGGGACAAGAGAAAGGAAAAGATCGTCTGCAGAGAATACAATGTATACAAGTGAACGATCGATATATACACACACGCGCAGAGGGTCACATGCAGGGGCGGACTGACAGCTCATAGGGCCCCCGGGCAATAGGGGATCATGGGGCCCCCGGGCAATAGGGGATCATGGGGCCCCCAGGCAATAGGGGATCATGGGGCCCGTGTCCTTTCCCACACTCAAAGCACACTGAAAAAAGCCTATAATAGGTACCAGGGGCATTTCATGGGGCCCCCTACTGACCCCGGGCTCTCGGGTGGTGCCCGAGTGTTCAGTCCGCCCCTGGTCACGACACCCCCCCTCCCCCAACACGATCTAAATGCATCACAACTGTCTATCCCTGGAAATAAGAGTGTTGGCCACTCAGGACTTTTCCATAAAACTGAACTCCGGGAACAAAAAATGTGAATTATTAGAGACCTCTGTGCGCCAAATGCCTCTGCAAACCCAGATATGACCTTGTGAAGATGAAGTGACATCATCAATGTGCTGTATATAGACTGTGCAGAGAGCAGAGCTGTGGGAGGGGCCCAACAGGCTCCACCCACTACAGAATGCTACAAGAGGGGGCGGAGACAAGACCAGTCACCCTGCACAATGAGAGAGCAGAGTTGTGGGAGGGGCCCAGCAGGCTCCACCCTGCACCACCTGGTCAGAAATTTGCTAGCATCCGGCCACCATGCTGGTATGAGCCACAGGCATCCGATTCTAGAATGACCAGAAAAACCTGACTCCCGATATCCCCGCACTTCCCGGGCACTCCCGATATCCCCGCACTTCCCAGGCACTCCCGATATCCCCGCACTTCCTGAGCTCGGGCACTCCCGATATCCCCGCACTTCCTGAGCTCGGGCACTCCCGATATCCCCGCACTTCCCGGGCACTCCCGATATCCCTGCACTTCCCGGGCACTCCCGATATCCCCGCACTTCCCGAGCCCGGGCACTCCCGATATCCCCGCACTTCCCAGGCACTCCCGATATCCCCCACTTCCCGGGCACTTCCCGATATCCCCGCACTTCCCGAGCCGGGCGCTCCCGATATCCCCGCACTTCCCGAGCCCGGGCGCTCCCGACAACCCCGCACTTCCCGAGCCCGGGCGCTCCCGACATCCCCGCACTTCCCGAGCCCGGGCGCTCCCCCATCCCCCCGCACTTCCTGAGCCCGGGCGCTCCCGACATCCTCGCACTCCTGATATCCCTGCACTTCCCGCGCCCGGGCGCTCCCGACATCCCCGCACTTCCCGGGCGCTCCCGACATCCCCGCACTTCCCGGGCGCTCCCGACATCCTCGCACTTCCCGGGCGCTCCCGACATCCCCGCACTTCCCGAGCCCGGGCACTCCCGACATCCCCGCACTTCCTGTGCATACATCGTCATAGCTGTGTATCTGCAGCGTGAGGTCATCTATGGCACTGCTGGTCTCAGAGGATTTAGAGTGATATGTGATGTCACTGCTGTACTGTTCTTTGGTGGAGGGGAAGCTGTACCTGAGGACCTGCAGTGTAAGGATTTCTCTGCTTCCCCCCCCCCCCCCCCCATCCTGATCATCCCAGGAACTGGAGGCTCTATGGAATTGTTGACTTATCCTGATCTTCATGAGAACAGGGATGGGACACAGATTGCAGCCCCATCCTGATCTCCCTGGAGGGGGGGGGGGGGGCGGGTACATAGCAGCCCCCATCCTGATCTCCCTGGGGGGAGGGGGGAGGCACAAACAGCAGCCCCACCCTGATCTCCCGTGGCAAATCTGCACCCGCTACCCATGTTTGGAGAAATTTGATCTTCAGCTGCTTTATTTGTGTATGAGACCAATGGAGGGGGGAGGGGGTGGGAAGGGGGGAGGGGGGGGGGGGGAGGGGGCCAGGAAAGTCCCGCACTGAACAGACCTCAGATGGGAGGAACATTCCCTGAGAGCCGCCAACAAAAGTAAAAGTGAAAGTTCAGAGGAGAGAAGAGCCGCTACTTCCTGAATGATGTGCCCCCTCGCCCAACCCCCGCCCTGTATACAGTATATACCTCACACCTGTATACATACAGTGGCTGGAGCCGGGCCGCTCCCCAGGATATAGTACCCCCCCCCCCCCATAGATGGAGAATAATGAACATTTCCCGCACAATACAAACATTTCACAGCAATTCATCTGGATTGGTTTCTTTTTGTAACATCATCATACAATGTAACCATCCATGGAGCGCTCTCCCCGTCATCACATTGTTACATTGTATACAGATCCTTCCCCCGGATCATACCGAGTCCATCCCCCGCACACAGAGACATTGTTACATTGTATACAGATCCTTCCCCCGGATCATACCGAGTCCATCCCCCGCACACAGAGACATTGTTACATTGTATACTGGATCCTTCCCCCTGGATCATACCGAGTCCATCCCCCGCACACAGAGACATTGTTACATTGTATACTGGATCCATCCTCCTCTATATACCCCATCCCCCGCACACAGAGACATTGTTACATTGTATACTGGATCCATCCCCCTCTATATACCCCATCCCCCCCACACAGAGACATTGTTACATTGTATACTGGATCCATCCCCCTCTATATACCCCATCCCCCGCACACAGAGACATTGTTACATTGTATACTGGATCCATCCCCCTCTATATACCCCTTCCCCCCACACAGAGACATTGTTACATTGTATACTGGATCCATCCCCTCTATATACTCCATCCCCCGCACACAGAGACATTGCTACATTGTATACTGGATCCATCCCCCTCTATATACCCCATCCCCCCCACACAGAGACATTGTTACATTGTATACTGGATCCATCCTCTATATATACCCCATCCCCCCCCCACAGAGACATTGTTACATTGTATACTGGATCCATCCTCCTCTATATACCCCATCCCCCGCACACAGAGACATTGTTACATTGTATATTGGATCCATCCCCCCTCCTCTATATATCCTCCCCCTTTCCCCCCCCCCCCCCCACAGAGACATTGTTACATTGTATAATGGATCCATCGTCCTCTATATATACCCCTTCCCCCCACACAGAGACTGTTACATTGTCTCCGCCCCGGTCTCAGGTCTTCTGCAGACTCTAACAGGTTTCCTTCTAAGATTGCCCTGTATTTGGCTCCATCCATCTTCCCATCAACTCTGACCAGCTTCCCTGTCCCTGCTGAAGAAAAGCATCCCCACCACATGATGCTGCCACCACCATGTTTCACGGTGGGGATGGTGTGTTCAGGGGGAGGGGCAATGTTAGTTTCCCCCCACACATAGCATTTTCCTTTTAGGCCGTAAAGTTCCATGTTGGTCTCCTCTGACCAGAGCCCCTTCTTCCATGTTTGCCGTGTCCCCCATGTTGGTCTCCTCTGACCAGAGCCCCTTCTTCCATGTTTGCCGTGTCCCCCATGTTGGTCTCCTCTGCCCAGAGCCCCTTCTTCCACATGTTTGCCGTGTCCCCCATGTTGGTCTCCTCTGACCAGAGCCCCTTCTTCCACATGTTTGCTGTGTCCCCCATGTTGGTCTCCTCTGACCAGAGCCCCTTCTTCACATGTTTGCCGTGTCCCCCATGTTGGTCTCCTCTGACCAGAGCCCCTTCTTGCACATGTTTGCTGTGTCCCCCACATGGCTTCTCACAAACTGCAAATGGGACTTCTTATGGCTTTCCTCCAACAATGGCTTCTTCTTGTCACCTTCCATAAAGGACAGATTTGTGGAGTGACGACTAATAGTTGTCCTGAGGACAGATTCTCCCCCCCTGAGCTGTGATCTCTGCAGCTCCTCCACAGTTCCCATGAGCCTCTTGGCTGCTTCTCTGATGAATGCTCTCCTTGCCGGGCCGGTCAGTTTAGGTGGACGGCCATGTCTTGGTAGGTTGGCAGTTGTGCCGTACTCCTCCCATGTTCGGAGGATGGATTGAACACAGCGCTCCGTGAGATGGGCAAGCTTGGGAGATTGTTTGTTATAACCTAACCCGGCTTTACACTTGTCCACAACTTTATCCCTGACCTGTCTGGTGTGTTCCTTGGCCTTCATGATGCTGTTTGTTCACTAATGTTCTCTAACAAACCTCTGAGGGCTTCACAGGACAGCTGGATTTATACTGAGATCACATGACACACAGGGGGACTCTATGTACTAATGAGGGGACTTCTGAAGGCAATTGGTTCCACTAGATTGTAGTTAGAGTAAAGGGGGCCGAATACAAATGTCCCCCACACTTTTCACAGTTTATTGGTCACAAATGTTGAAAACCAATTTCTCATTTTCCTTCCACTTCACAATTATGTGCCCCTTTGTGTCGGTCCATCACATCCAATCCCGATAGATACATTGTAACATGACAACATGGGGGGGATACATTGTAACATGACAACATGGGGGGGATACATTGTAACATGACAACATGGGGGGGATACATTGTAACATGACAACATGGGGGGGATACATTGTAACATGACAACATGGGGGGGGGGGGGGATACATTGTAACATGACAACATGGGGGGATACATTGTAACATGACAACATGGGGGGGATACATTGTAACATGACAACATGGGGGGGGGGGGGACAACATACATTGTAACATGACAACATGGGGGGGGATACATTGTAACATGACAACGGGTTTTTATCCCCCCCCACCTTCCTGTCCCGGTGACCCCCCACCCACAGAGAGGATTTTATCCCCCTTTCCTGTCCCGGTGACCCCCCCCCACAGAAAGGAGATTTTATCCCCACTTTCCTGTCCCGGTGACCCCCCCCCACCACCCACAGAGAGGAGAGATTTATCCCCCTTTCCTTGTCCCCGGTGACCCCCCCCCCCCCACAGAGGAGATTTATCCCCCCTTTCCTGTCCCGGTGACCCCCCCCACCCTGTACTCAAGAGGATTTATCCCACCTTTCCTGTCCGGTGACCCCCTCCCCACCA